GCAGTTTTTGTGGCTTCCCAGCGCGTCCTAGGTCCCCTGTGACGCCACCCTCGTGTTAGGAAGGTGGTGTCATTGGTGCTCTGAGTTATCTTGGACCGGTTTTTGGCTATTTGCCACTTGTTTTGCGCCTCACGGGGCGCCAGTTGAGCGCTGCTAAAGGAGCTATCTCTAAAATATAATCTTTCTATGTTCATTGGCGCCTTGAACACTGTCCAATCCTGACCGTCTCTGTCTCCGTCATCATCTCCACGCCAGGAACCCTGGACCCTAAAACCCCCCAAAACCTCCAATCGTGACCCGTCTATGTCCCTGGCCCCGTCTTTGCCCCTGTCTCCATCACCATCTCCACCACGTCACTATACTCATGGACTGTCTCCATGATAGTCTACGGCAATTAGTGGTATCAGCGGATGCTCCAAGTACCCATCAACAACAAGGTTCGCAACGGCCTGGAAGTAATTCTGTTGAGTGACATGCCGTCAACTGCGTCATATTCATCAGAAGCAAAGTAAAGTTCAGCCACGCCATCTCGCAGTGGGGAGGGCTGAAGCGACACAGCGCGAATTTCGACCACTTCACTGGAGCCCAACCTCCTTGGCGAAAATGAAGCGACAGCGGCACGGGGTGCCAAGGTAACCCCTTCTCCTCTTGGAGGGGATGGAGCATTGGCTAGTCGAACGCCCAGAACTGGGATTGCACCTGAATGTCTGGCCCAGCCGACCATCTAGGAGTCCTCTCTGTACTGCTTTTGGGGCACTGTTTGGGCATTGGCGATGGTGAGTACCACTCTGGTCTACCGATATCACCAAACCTAAACTGGTAGCATTGGCTGATTCTTCAAATTCGAAGGGCAATAAGAAGTTCAAGAGGAACCGATGGCCACTCTTTTTTATGTTTGCTCTCTCCCGCCAGGCCCTGTTAGGCTTAAGACACATCTGAGATAGTGAAATTTAGTGTGCTGGGGATTAGGCCGCTTGCTTCCTGTTTGTAGAAGGCATTGGCAGCCTTCTAGCAGCTACAAAATCTCGTTTGGATGCTTTTGCCGGTACTCGAGTCTCTATTGGAAACCAAAGCAAAGAATGAGCCTCGAATCAGACCGAAATTAAAAGGCATCACGATTTGCTGGTCATTTCATAAACAAACCAACATATTCGGATACTCGAATGTGGGTTTCGTCTCTTCACATTTGCGTTTTGAGGAATCAAAATGCATAACACAGAAATCGCTACTTTCAGTGCCATATTTATGTATCTTTGCGGTGCGTTGAGACACCCGGAAGTTAACCCATGGGTTACATGGTGAAGTCACAAACAATGGCCAGCTCTCCCCCTCCTCGAATACCAGCAACACAGTGTTCAATCGCCACCGAGTGCAGCGATGTCGTGGCATAGAATTCTCGTTTTCTGCCCACTCCAGTGCGTATGGTTGCTACTTTCCGGTCTTCCAGAGTCTATATGTGTTGTCTTTATGTACACAGAGTGTGTATTTACGTATTTTCACCGCTTCAATGCGCAAAAACGTGAATAATGTGTTTTACCCGCAAATTCATGAAAGGGCGCAGCTTCGCGCTGTAAAAACCAACCCTATTTGAATATACCCTTTGTCAATGTCTCGGGGCTTGTTGTTGAGCTACCCAACAAGTCCCAGTCTCGGTGACTAAGGAGTGGATGCTTTAACATCGACAAAATGCATGTGATCTGTGCCAACGCTCAAAAGTATATTTGTGAATTCTACATCGAAGCGACACCGCTGTCATGCTGGCTCCGTACAACTATACCGTTTGGCTGAGTTGGGCTACCAATCGCGGAGAAAGCACGTGTCATTTCATTTTCGTGCACCTCGCGTCGATGCACTCAAGGAAATAGAATTCTGTGAGATGACCGGTGCCTCGACTTGGAAGCATTCGTACCAGATTTGATAACAAAGAGTATTTTGTTGCGATTTGAGGAGAGGCAGGAGATGTGTAAGGCAATTGCATATGCATGAGCAGAGACTTGATGATGGATTTTGAGAGAAAGGGAAGACAATGAGGAGCACATATATGCTCAAATATGATTCCGAGCGACTCGAAACATTGTTTAGCAAATAGGCAAAGGTTTAGTCTTCCCAGTACATTGGTTGATATTTGATAATATTTGAAGCAAACCAGTTGGCTATCGCATTACGTGAGAGACCGACGGCTTAATCAATTGTTGCTTGTGTGATGATGTGCCTGTGTCCATGCAAGGATGCCATGAGTTGTTGAATGGCTGGGTTTGCTTTTGCCATTTATGAGATGGCAGCTGGCATTTTCAGATTGCCGGCGCTGTGCCGTGGCATGACATCATCCAAATACTTATGCTTATTGTGAGGGCGAGGGAGTGTTTGATATATAATATGTGATATATGGCGTTTTTGTAATGGGAAGTAGATATGGTGAACACATTGTAACGGTGAATTTACATGGGGACAATGGAGATAGGAAGCTTCTGTCATACTTGTCTCCTTCAACCCCCCAGTCCCATGACAATACATTACACTCACACAGTTTGGTGTCCATCATCTCATTACTACAAGACCCGATTGGCGACCCACTTGAACGTGCCCTCGCTTCTCATAGTACTTAATGCCACTCTGGCGGTGACTCAACCCAGAGTCAGTTCCCCTTTCTCGTACTCAACTCCCTCTCCATCCCACAGCTAACCGAAACTCACTCTATTAGGGTGGGCCGGGTGGGTGCGAAACAAGATAAAGGGGGGCGCCAAGGGTCGCGCCTAAAATAGCCGCTCCCACTTGCGGCCAAACTCCCCGCCAAACCCAAGGGCCAGCTTGACTGGTCCCCTTGTCTATGCCCAAGGTACAAGGTTCACCCCAACTGCCCTTGGATCCGTCGGGCAGAACTGACCCCGAGTATAGGGGTTGACGACAGAAACCGGCTAAGTGATGGCCCCGAAACTGGCCCAAGTGGCAGACCGGCCCAGCCTGGCTGATACGCGCCCACCCAACGTCGTCCTTGGCAGAAACTCATTAACAGAATAATTGATTATATGAACATTGTTGCAGTGATTGTAATTTAGGTGGTACGCTCATCTTGTAATGCATCCGGTCATGGCTTTGCTTCCTTTGCCTGGGGCAATCATGTGCGAGCGTGTGCGAAAGGTTTGGTTTCCCTGATACTTATCGCTGCGGAATTTATGGTGGGGCACCATTCTTGAACTGATAATGCGTGTTGGTTGCTGCGGCCCACCGTCGGCTTCATCGGCACTGCCAGTTCTGCGGCCATCCAAATGACCCAACCATAAATGGCAGGTGATAATCTCCGCACGAGTAGGGATGCGCGCTGCGCGTTTTAGGGAATCTCCTAAGGCTGAGAGTCATCTCTACAGAGATATACACTATTTATACAGTAAATCTACTATGCATTATGTGCGTCAACACCTCACCAGCTTGTAATCGCTGTGGAGACGAAGTCCTGCGCGTGCAAGGGATCCTTCTGGCGCGACGGGATATGGCAGGTGGCGTTTGGAGGACATCGAGAGCGCCCACTATGTGGGCGTGTTGGCGATGGCGAAGCACGGCGGCTCCGCTGCATTGTGAAGGTACTGCAGCACGCCCTGGGAGCAAATACGAGCCGCAAAGAGAATATTCCATGGATGGGAATCAATCATACTATCACTAATGATGGCCTGATTGATGGCAAGTCCCGGTTGGTTTCCGCCTACACAATTTCGAAGGGCTTGCTCGTCATTTCCTGTGGTGATGGGTGCTCTCCTATGGCTGCCTGCGAGCACCGCTCGACGTCCCTCAAGGCTGCCATGGCAACCACAAGGTTGTTCAACATCTGGTGTCCAGACATCTATTGGTCAAATCGCGAATCCTATGCTGTCTGCTCGCACTGCGTGCACTTTATGTTGATCGCGCCACTGGAGCCAGGGGCGAAACACGTGTTTTCACAAACCTCTGCTTTTTGTCTTAGAGAGTTCGTCAGGTCGTTCTGTGAGTTTGGCAACGCTGTCCGCATTACATATTGCTTCCAGGAATATTGCCCGTCGTCGCTACATTGGTGTCAAGGTTTGTTGTGTTTGGCCAATGTAAACATACGGAGTAACTTGTTATGTGACAGCCACGCGGCTGTACAGACACGTGATCATACAGCACAGTTACGAGTATTTGATTCCCAGGCCAGCATTTCGATGCATTCTTCTCACGTCACGACTCGTGCACTTTGACGGCCACCGATGATGTGCTCTCTCATGCACAGTTGTTGTGTTTGCGCCACTTACGGATCTCCTCATTTACTCCATTGCGTCTTCGGAACTATAGCATGTAATATCGTCACGAGCACCGCTCCCTCACAATCAAGCCGCCACCCAGGCGAACACAAACAATAGTCTCCGCACAGTAAGCCGCAAGAAAGAAAAGCCAATGCCATATTCATTCAGGTCAGTATCAAACCAACGCCGTGGGGTAGCTGTGCCAAAACAAACAAATCCAGGTCGTGATCTCGCGCACCCACAGCAGCAACATTTTGGTGCCCTAAGCGTAGCATCACAAGATGCTGACATCCAGTAGCAACCAGTTTATTCTGCGTCGGTGAACAAAATCGAAGCTGTCTTGAATTGTGGCAACAACAGAAACCGTTCCCCTGGGTGGCAGGTCGGCACAATCCGATGCGTTCTGAAAAGGGAAAATGCTTTGAGACGGACTATGATGCCGAACCCATGTGCAGCGTTAAATCGGCTCTGCCAACTTGGCTGTCTTCTACTCCTAAAAGATGAAATACCTGTGTCTTCAAATGGACATGGTATCCACCACGAACTGCAATTCCCAGAAAATAAGTACACCATTGTTTCGAAGATGGGTTCGACACAGGGTAGACATTTACATGCATGCCACCAGAGCGGCCAACGCGTGGCGCATCACTGGAATCCCCTGGGGAAACTGCTGCAGCAGAAGCCACTGGGGAATTTGGAATTCACCTCGATAATACATAGAAGGGCGAGCGCCGGTACAAGGGATATCTAACGGGCGTCCTCAACAAGCACAGTCAAGGCGAAATTACCAGAGTGCTGCCGCCGTCTCTCCTGTGGCCTCCCTCTATTATCCACTTCTGGGAGTCGTTCACCTCTCGTTGCCTGATTCTGAGGCGACAACTGATCCTGTGTAGTGCTTTGCGTTCCCTTTGTGCCCGCTCTCTCTGCAGCGCTTTCCACATCACCCATAGCTCCCTGTTCCACGCGCCTGCTCGATGGCCCCTGCGGTTCAGCGGCCCTGGTCCTGGCATCCCAGTCCTCAAACGCATAGGCAGCACTACAGTTAATCAGGGGATCAATTCCGTGCATGGCCACAGTTCTGTCGTTGGCCACTGCACCCTGGAAACTTTCCTCTGAAGAAAAGGAGCATGATATGATCTCCCGGTTTGGCTTCCCTGCAACTGACTTGCCACAGCCAGCCATGCGACCACCTCCTTCCATCTTCCCATCTTGTCCTCTTCTCGATGGGAGTGGGTAGTCCTGCCCATCCGACTTCCCAACAGCATCTGTCCCCACAGCCGCCATTTTGGATCCAGCCTTGAACTTGACGGCTGCTGTGGCAACTATGGCTTGTGTCAATATCTTCTTTTGGGCGCTGTGCCTCAGGGGACCCAGCCTCTCGCTTATTTCTTCCAGAATTTGGCTCTTGTCTGACAGCACGCGAGTGAAGTTGTGCACACAGCAGAACTTGCACAGTGCAGACATCTTCTGGTTACAATCCTGTGGGTCTGCAACCTTGTGGCTGCCTTGCTCTTGAATCTGGGAACATGCAGACAATAGTTGATTTCTGGACAGAAGAACATCATGAAGACACAAAGTGTCTTCACAGCTCCTTTAAACTCAAAGTACAGACTGAAAACATCAGTGGCATCAGAATGACATACAGCTGGACATCAGATAGATCTTGATCTCAGAGTGCTGGATGTCCACAACACTTTAGCAGGCATGTACGCCTCCACAATCAAAAGTCTTGCAGGGCGATGAACACCAACAGCAATTCGATTGATCTTGCTGATGCAAATCAGTGGTGTGACAAAATTGTTCTCAAGACAAACATAAGGTGAATCCATGGTTGCTAGCTGGTATCTAGTGAATCCACATCTGTGGAGTACAACAGCACAAGAAACGAACAGCGATGTATCACGGTTCACTCAATGCCAATGGTTGTTCAAATCACAATACATTACACAGTGTTCTCTCTTTTGATAGATTCCAGAATGCTGCCAGAAAGGGTATCTTGTGGTAGATATGTCTTGCTCTGCATATGGATGCAAATTGTGTTAGCCGGTGAGAACATCACTTTTCACATCTACACCAAAGGTGCAGACCACAAGTAATAGACACACTGCCTTTTGCAGTGCAGGACTGCGCCCTATTGCAAATACCCAGCCTCACCTTTCTTTCCATTTCCTCAGCTGCCTTGGGGTGCTGTGATTTGTACATATCTATAATTAACTCCTTGAAAAACTGTAGATCTTCCTCTTCTGCCATGGCAAGCCACTGTGCTAGAGGGGCCCTATCACGCCAGTTGAGCATCTTGTATATTGGTCCCCTTTCAACCTTCTTTTTGAGGTAAAAGTCGTTATACAGCTTTGTGGCAAACGACTTGAATTTGTCCCGAGTGGTCTCGTCAGTCATGGCCAGGAAATCCACCAGCTCAGGGAACCTCTCCACCAACTTCCGCCAGAAGTGGGCCACGGGGGTGAGACTGAGGTAACTCGTCTCCGAGCGATCCGCGATGTAGTCTGTCAACATGTCACTCAGCTTGTCCCATCTCATGAACATCTCCGTATCAGAGTCTTTCAAGGCTCTGTACACAAAGTGAGGATCAAATGTATGCAACAGTTCCTTGCTGACCTGCAATGCAAAATCGCACAACCATTAGCATCACGACCTCGCAAAAAAAGGTACTGCCTCGCTGCAACTGGAGGGAAGCTACAAAAGTGTTGGAGCTTGGGTTTACCCTCGTTGATGGGTAGACTGCCACTGGTATGGAATCATGCCCAGTTACCTCACCAACCATCACCCAGAAAGGCTCAAACAAGAATGCAACAGGCCTCTAAAGGCCGTACTTGAGGGAACTGCTTCCTTTTCCATAGCCAAGCCAATTGCCAGCACAGTAATGCACCCTGAATCATGTCACCCCAGCCAATGGAGGCACTTATTCCAGTAATAATCTAGAAACGGCAACCCCACAGCCTTCAAACTAGAGTGTTTGAAGGACAAATGGCTGGCCTCCAAGCTTTACCTCAGAGCGGCGTTTCTTTGTCTCCCAGCGTCCCACCCCATCGTAGTCATCATCAAACTGCATGTCCTTGTGCATGACTGCCCGGCAGTGGAGGTGCCGCAGCCAGTAGATCTCGACTTTTTGCCTCAGCTCCCACACAAATGTGATGACAAAAACGAGAACCAGCAGGCCCAACCCCACTAGAACAAAGACCTCAAGGATGTCTCTGTTAAGGTCAGGGAGGTTGTTGGCATAGAACATCATTCCCCCAAAACATTCGATCAAAAGGGAGATCAACAGAATGTTGAACAGCCAATCCAGATACCTGTTTCACAATACAAAGTTCGTTGTTAACTGGTAGACTGATGAGGCCTCTGAATTCAAAGAATCAAGTGGCAAGCCCCGAACGTCACATGTGCACAGATCCAACTAGCTGCTGATGCAGTCACAATTGAAGATTCAAATTTTCTACAACCGAAACATGCCGTAAATCCCATGACCACAACAGTTCAAAACATGCCGGGGGAGTTACAGGTTGGCCTAGAACAGGTTCCCGTACCTGGCAAGTTATATGCAGTGCATCAAGACACTGTGTGTCATGTAGCAAGGTGGTACACCATGTGGACGGATTACAGAAACTCAGACAACGGAGTTAACTGTAGCTTATGTATGGATAATACCTGCTTACTCTTTCCCTTCTTCCATTTTACTTGATTTGCCCTCTGCAGATCAATGAAATCCTGGCTATCTGAATCGAGCAAAGGGTTGCATTGGAAACAGAATGGGCAACATGGACCTGCATCGCATTCCTTGTGAATGGGCCATGGCACTGGCTGCACTGGGACACGGGTCCTGAATGTAAGGAATTCAACAAAAGTTCAAACAATTGAATCTTCAACTCGAAGCAGTCCAGAGCCCAAGGCAGTGCCTTTTA